TTCAAAATAATAGAAAAATATATAAAGCACAAATGTACAGGGCCTCTTTATCTATCCTGGCCTGCTCTCCCCTCCCAGAGGTATGGTGTTAACATTTTTAAGTATATTTTTCTCTTAAAATATACTTTTAGAGTATTGTTTTAGAGTATTGTTCTAGAGTATTGTTCTCACACTCTCTACACATTTAAAAACATTTATTTAAAGAATTTATGAAAAGCATTTGTAAAAGAGTTTATTGATGTTAAAATGCATATGTTTTCATGTATTAACACTTCCGAAACTGGGCTGTGTCTTCCCTTTGATGGCTTCTTAGATCCAGTGAAATACCACATTTTTTAGTTTTTAATTAAATAGCTCATAATTTATGTATTGTTCTGAAACTTGCTGTTCAAGAGAGCCTACATTTTTTACATGGTAGCATTCTCACCGCATTTATATCCACATTATTGTGTGATATGTTTAAGCTGTAAAATATATGATTACAGTCCCCACATCTCCAAATTGCTTCTAAATTTATTCCTGACCCTCCCACAGTGCCATGAGCATAGAGGTCCAAGTCCTTTACAAAAGTGTTTTATAGATGAGATAAAGAGTTTGGATCATACTCTTGGAAACACCCACATAACCTGTAGCTAATACGTATACAAAATACCAAATATCTTTTCTAATGTGGAGAGCAATAGGTGCGTCATCTGACTTACGCACTGGCTCATTTATGTTTTCTTTAAGGCTGTGCACTTAAGAATGTTCCAGTGTGCCATACATATATACGCCGTACGGGAGCTGTGAGTGTGTATGATGTCTCACCGCTTCTTCTGATTGGAAATGGGGAAGTGAGACTCGAACTGATGCATCCCTGCTTTCGCCCATGGCTTCAGTTATATCTCTTCCCCCGTCCCACTCCCCAGTGAGTGTGAAGCCCTTGTTTCTCTGGCACTATCCTAGGAGGCTGAGCAGGAACTCAAGCAGGACCTCAGCCTTGTAGCATGCATGCAGGGAGAGGGGGGTGCGGACTCTGACCTGGACTCCGGTTGGCTTTGGTTCAGAAGAAGCCTTCAAGAGGCAGGTGAACTCTGGAGTTTCACAAGGGGGAGGTCCCAAAGGTTTGGGTGAGGTCAGCACTCCTCCATGCGGCATGAAATGGACTCACTCTGTGGGTGCCCCATAGACTCTGAGGCCCGCCCTGCATCTAGAGCGGAGCTCTCAGGACTGATGGAGAAAGTATAAACTTCCTCTACCCCTGACATAAGAGGGGAGTCTTGTGAGCCCTAAATATTCCCCAGAATGGGTAATTCGGCTGCTGGAAACTGATCCCTGTGCATAAACAGCATCTCACCCTTTGGAGGCAGCATTTGCAATAGCTGCAGATAGCTGTTCTAATGGCCCAAGAGGACAAATGCCTCTTGTATTGTGAGCCTGTGAGATTACGCAGCATTTTGCCATTTACCTTCACAGGGAGGAGATGTTACAGTTGCTTTTGACCCAACAGCCTGATCTGTATCTGCCACATAGTGAGTCAGAATCCATGATTTTGCCACAGATATCCTAGCAGCCTTCTACCTCCAAAGAGACCCTCAACCAGGCCCACCACTCACCATCTCCTCTGCTACCACCCAAGTCCAAGCTGTCACCTTCCTCCCTTATGTTCTTGCAGGAGCCTCCTGCTGGTTTCCCCAATTCTGTGGTTATTCCTACCGATCCATCTTTGTAGATACGCCAGAGTCATCTTTGAAACCACAAATTTCCTAATGTCAGCTCACACTACTCCATTTAAAAGCCTCTGGGGTTTTCCACTGCACCTAGAATAAAATGCAAAGTCCTTGGCCTGGACAGCAAATCCTTAACATCTACCTCTCCAGCATCTTCTTTATGCCCCCCTGACTCTTACACGTTAGGTTCCAGACACACTAATCTTGAATGGGCTCAGTTCCTTCCCATTGCAGAGCACTGGCTGTTGCCTCTGCCTGGACGATCTTGACCTGTGCTCTGAGCATGGCCTGCTCCCTCTCATGCAGCAAATCTCTGCTCTCATGTCACCTGCTCAGCATAGCTGTCCCTAGGCACATGTCTCAAGTCTCCCCTCCTGTTACTCTGTCATATCATCCTGTTTATTTCCTCTTTTGAGAACACTTATTATACTCTGTAATTATCACATATGTTAACTTGTTCATTTTCTGCTTCCCTCTATGAGAATAAGAACTTTGCTAGTTTCAGCTATGTGTTCCCAATTTGTAATCTGGAACATTTCCTGGATAATTAGGCCGAAACATTTCTGAATGAAATAGTGGTCATTAGTTGTATATTTAAAATTAATCGAGAAGCACTGCATACCGTTAGCACCCACTGGCCAGGGCTGCCCGTGTCAGGATGTGGAAAAAGGCGGCTGTTTACCACCCAGGTGCCCATCAGTATTGCCACCTGCAGGCCAACTCTGACCTGCTAAGCACAGTCCCTCAGGGCAGAGTCTGAACATCCTAGGTTTGGAAGTGCCATGAATGATTCTGATGTATCTCTGGCTAAAAATATCTAGAAAGACCCTTTCCTTTGCCTCTGAAATCCCAATTGCTCATAGTGGGCTGCCATGGGGGATGACGTGTTTAGAGTCAATACGTGGCCTGTTCTGCCTTAGGAAAAGCAGCGAGCATAGGGCTGACAGGTGAGAGCAAAGTTCCCAGAAGAGATGTTCTGCCCACAGGCAAAGCTTCTGGTGAAGCTGATGAGCAAACTCCCCTCAAAGGGCTTGAGCTTTTGTGGGAGTGTATGTGAGCAGTGTGTGTGTGTGTATGTCTCAAATAGCTCTTTTTCTAAAAGCAAAATACTGTAGAAATGTTTGAATATACAGAAAAATATAAAGGACTTAAAAACCACCCATGAATCTTATACTCAAAGATCATGTTAAAATCACCATAACCATTAATACTCATTGAGGACTTAATCTGCCAGGCATTTTCCTATATGTTTCAAATGTATTTCCTTTACTTAACCCTCACAAAAACCCAGTGTGGTAGGTACTATTTTTCTCACCCATTTTACAGATGTGAAAACAGGCACAGGGAGGGAGTTTAGGAAATTTGCTCCAAATCATGTAATTCCAGAATTTTAATTTAGCAATCTGCCTCCAGAACTCATGCTCTTAGCTACTGTAATGCTATAAAGCCTTGCTTTTCCATAGATGTCTCTTTGTGTGATTGTATATATACTTATACAAACACATACACACACATATGTTATAGGGAAAGAATTTTTCCTTATCTGCCTATTAAAGAAGCTCATTTTTGCTTGGCTACCAGATCCCTGAGAAATCAATAAAATTTTATAGACTCACTTTTTTCCAATTAAGGCAGTGATAATTTTCCTATTGTAAGAAGCTTCATTTCTTTGTTTGTTAAATCATCAGTGTGTGTAATTTCATCAAATGTTTTTTTTTTTCTATTACTGTAGAGATGTCCATATTCCTTTCCCATGTTCCACACTGTCTTAACCTGCTAACTAACTTGTCCTTTCTACTTGGTCATGATTTTTTTCATAATTGATGGCTAAATTTTGTTTCAGAATTTTGCCTGTGTTGAATAGTTAGCTTGGTCTGTAATTTTCTTTTCTCATACTGTTTTCACCTGGCTTTAATATTAAGGTTTATAGACTCATAAAATGAGTTGCTGTGTGCTCTGTCTTTTCTAATTTCTCTGAAAGAGTTTAAGCTTGAAATTATTAATACCTTGAACTCACCTATAAAAATAGTTTGAGCCCAGAATTTTGCTTACTGGAAGATATGTAATTTTTAATTCAATACCTTTAATGGTTATAGTATAAATTAGGTCTTATCTCCTGTTTTGAGTTAGTTTTGATAATTTTTCTTTTCCTCGGAATGTATCCATTTCTCAGAAGGTTTTAAATTTATTGGCATAAACTTGCTTTCTCTCATTTATCTAATCTCCTAATGCTACATGTGTAATAACTTCTCTTTTTTAAATTGCTAGTATTATTTATTTGATAAATAATATATCTCTCTTTTTCTTGATAAATCCTCAGAGAAATGTGCCATTTTAATTGCTCTTTCCATGCAATTTTACCTCCATCACAAGCTCTGATTATATTGTATTATACTCAGTTAATCAGAAATCTATATCTCTTTTCATATTAAACAACTTGGGGGGAAATGCCTATGTCATACTCCTTTTTCTAAGCCCTTGCTTGCCTCAGACATATTATTTGATTAATAAATTTACCTTAAATAAATGAAATTCATCAATAGAAGCCCTACACATTGGTAAGCTCTTCAAGACATACAGCTTCATCTTTCTCCCCCTAAACCCAATGTGGTAACTTATACACAGTAAGGGCTTAAGAGTTTCACTGATCAACCCCAAAAAAGCCACATTTTCAAATCTGCTTAGAGGAAATTTATAGTACAAACATTAAAGAACTCATGTGAGTCAGCCTTCAAAACATCATTTAATTTGTGGTTTGTTGGTGAACCCAAAAGGAAGTTTGAATTTATTTCCTGAACGAATTTTAATTGGGTTCAAGTGTTTAACTCTCGCTGCCTCTCTAAGTACTTTTACTTGAATTGATAAAATAATTCATTTCTGTATTCCTAAAAATAATTATCATAAATACTGATGCATACAATCAAACCTCTAATGTTGGGCAGCCCATGTAGCAATATGGGTTTTGACAGATTTTTTTTTTCCATGAGTCAGACCATGCAGGTCAGAATCCAAGACAATTCAATTCCAAGACAATTATAAGGAGCAAGAGAATTAGTCAAGCTTCTGAGAATTAGTCAAGTTCAATGAGGTATCACCTGAAGTCAGAATAGTGGACCACTGCTCTCTTTTCTACAGAAATGATTTTGTTCCCCTAAACAAGCTCCTAGAAAGAGAAACTTGATTTCTCTTTTAGCCTTGCTAAGCCAGGTATAAGTGAGTACACACTCTACAGGACTGAAATACAAAACCCCGAATATTTTTTCCTGTTTATTCAACATGTATCAAACTTACTCTATGCATAGTGCTGTGTCTTCAGTTAGCCATCGATCTGCCATCTGTCGTTTTATCTTCTTGTTTGAATTTCCATTACTCCTTTTGCATCAATAATATAGGTGTGCTGAAAGCAAGAGTACCTAGGTCAGAGCTAAGGATTCAAACTCAACAGGCAGGAGAAACATGCAAGATATTTCCTCCAGTCAAATATGTTACACTGTTAAATTTTATTAGACAATTATAAGGAGCAAGAGTTTACAAACCCAGTGATTAAAGCTATAAAATAGAAAATCTATGTCTATTATTAAAAAAGAATTCAGCAAATGAATGAAATGCTAGTGTTTAGTAATTTTCCTTGTGCTATCCAGTATAGATGAACTAAAAATACACAGGGAGAAAGATTCAATCAATAAATATTTTTAAAGTGACAGCCCTCTACTTGGTTTCAGACCAAGATTTAAAAACTAGCATTTTAAAGATTAAAATTTTTATTTAGGAGACTTGAGATGAAGTGACTTATATTATATCAAGAAGGGTGATCCTAAGCCTGTATCTAATCAGAAGACTACATTTATCTTATCTTCATAAAACTATATAAAATGAATATCTTAAAATTAGTAACCTCAAAAGTAGGGGGAAAGCTCAATGTATTTTATGTTGGATGAATTAACTTGGATTAATTTTGTTCTCTGAAACTATTTACATAAGTAGTATTGAAATAATTTTCCAAGAATTTTTATTCTACTTAATGATAGAGATATGCTTTTCTTCCTGTCCAAGATTTCAATACCAAGACAGCTGAAAAGGACTTTGGTTTGTATCTTTTTATATCAGCCTTGGTTTTTCTTTAAATTCTATTTACAGGCTGACTTCACATGATGAGAAACACTGTGAAATGCATGGGTTTGGTTTATATAAACCAAATCCTAATGCATAAACCAAATAAATCCTAACAGAAATCGCAGCTCTGGAAATTTGGCAGTGGGTGGTGGGGACAGTTCTACTTTCCTCGATTTCCAGATGACTTTATCATGATAGGAAAGCCATTTTATACTTTCTTTTCTAAGTACAAGAGCATGTTAGACTAGATTTCCAAATATATCCATTAAAAGGGAAAAAGCCCACCTGCCAAAAAGAGCTGGTCATATCCTCTGGCCCTGGAGGACTATAGGGTAATTAGCAGTTGCTCCCATCTTCTCTGTCTGTGTCAGCATGTGGCTGATTCAGGTGCTTGTTAGCACTCCCTATGATAATTGAGTCAGCAAACCTGAGTTCTTGTTTTCTGAAAACACTTCTTATCTCTTCCGCCCATTAATAACTGTGCTCAACAAAGCCTTGGGGAATATATTTCACCCTAGGGTGTAAGACGGTGACATCCCTCCAAAGCGGAGATTTTGATTAAGGTACTTCTTGATGGTTTTCTGAGTTCATCTGGGTAGAGTTCTTACTTTATTCCAAAAGAGATTTTCATTGCCATAAGTTATCCATAGCAACCAATTATACTACAATAGCAATAATAATGATAATACATTTAGAAGAATCAGGGCATACATGATTGAGCATGTATCAAGTAACTTGCTTCCCTTTTTGCTGCACCTGTTATTCCCTATTATGCAAAATGTTATTACTGCACATATTATATTGTCAAAATATTTATACTGGGCAATGAAAACATGTTTAGAAAGTCATAGTCTGTAAATTCCTGCTTACCTAATGACAATTATTTTGGGGTGCTGAAATAGACAATTTCAATTACTCAGGTGGAGTGCTGAAGTATACTCTCCTAAGTGAATAAAAGGAGTTGGAGCTATGAGCACAAAGACCTTAAAAATATCAAATTATAATTGCCAGGCTCTTTGGCTCTGGCTCAGACACACGTATGTTTTTATAATGGCCTTAAAGAAAATGTCTTAACTTGATAATGGTTTTAAAATATATTTATTTTGATGAACTCCATCTACTGTGTTGGTAATATTTCATTTTTTAATTATGAAAGTATTACATATCTATTGTTTTATATAGTGTGTGTATATATATATACATATATATAAAATGGTAGTATACAAAAGAAAATAAGGCCTGCTTTCCTACATTCCACTCCCACCATTATTTACTCATCCCTAAACATGAGTACACACCACACTGCCATATCTTGGTAAATATATATGTGTTTATATACATGTACTAACATATATACAGTATATATGTACATTTTTTTTCACCAAAATGCAATTATGATTTACATATGGTTCTGTAATTATCCCCACTTCCTGAAACATGGACATTTTTCTAAGTCAATACCTCCACCTTCCTCAATTTTTAAATACTGCATAACATTTAATTGAATGAAGACATATCATTGTTTATTTAACTATTTTAAATATTTAAATTGCTTCCAATTTTTCCTATTATAAATACAGTTGCAATGAGCTACCTCATTTTTCACTCTGATTATACTTAGCTTAGGAGTAATTATATCCACTTGTCTTAGGTAATGAATACAAATTTCTTCAAGATCCCAGAATTACCATATTGATACAAAGTGCTGAAAACCACTTTCTGAACTGATTCAAAATCCGTGATTCAAAAATCACTTAGGGCTGATTCAGTCATATTGCAAATCAAATCAGGTCATCATTAGAAACCACACCTCCTCAGTTACCCCTCTCCCCCACACCCCTACATTTTCTCTCACAAGGGAAATCAAAACATAAACTTTTAAAAAAATCATACAAATGAAAGAATTGCTGTATTCATTTCCTCACTAGAATTGTATCCAGGGTGTGGTGGTAAGGCCAGGAAATTAAGAACCCACCCAGTTAAGGTTACTGAATGGTGGGTTAGTTGGAAATTTCCAACAATTGAATGAATTTAGTCTAAGAATTTGAATGCTCCATTTAGAGAGAGTGGTCAATCATCAAATATACAATGTAACCTGCTCGTCTCCTTAGAAAATAACATTCTTGGTGAAGACAAGTATTAATAATATTAGAGTCACATCTCTTCACTTGTTTCTGGTTTTCAAAGGGGCAGTAAACTCCTAAAAACTAAGGGAATAACTTTATTTAAAAAATTGACATTTCTAATCCTGTATTCCGTGAGGCTCTGAAGGATTTTATGAGTTTATTCCCGAGCAAGTACCACATAACTTTTACAAGCGGAGAAACAGAGACTGCATACAGTCTAGGTGATGAATCAGTTGCCCAGGAAGAGGTTCCCATCTCAGGCTTCCAAGGGCTGTGCTAACACCCCGTCCTCACAGTTGCCCCACTGAGAGTCGAGCATCACTAGGACAGTAAATCCTTTCACAACCCCTGAACAAACCCAGCCTTGTCCCTTCCCATCCTCAGAAGGCACTATTTTTCATTTAGCAGACTGGCTTTTATCTTGCTAATTGAGAGATATTCTATGCACCCTCTAGGCTTTTTTTTTTTTTTCCTATAGTCTCTTTTCCTTGGGAATGGAAAGATTTTCCTGAAATGATATCCAACGGAGACAACCTTGACTGCTACTTGCTGGGGGGAAATAGTGGCTGGGCCCCTCAAGCCGTAGTTTTCTTTACACTCGACAATGTTTCCTACTCAAAGGCTGTTCTCTGAGTGTGGCTACTGCAGCGCTGGACTAGCAATGCTTCCCCTCGGGAGAAAGGAGCTGGGGTTTGATCCCTGCCAGGTGGCAGCCAGGCCTGCTCAGGGGGTGGGCGCTGCCCTGGGGCCAGACACGTCTGTGCCAGGCTCCAGCCCTCTGCCTGCCAGCACGCAGCCCTGCATGACCAGGGATTAGGACGACCGGGAACCCAGGAACTGCAGCTCCTGGAGAGATCCTGAGCGTGGGAGAAAGGCCACCAGGAGTGGGTTCCTTGCAAAGCCCTTCTTGTTGCCTTGTCCTCAGTCCCTTCCTTCCCGCCCACTCGGCTGCCGCCCCCATACGCTTACGGGGTAAAGCAGTGAAATGGAGCCACCATTCTACACATCCTGAGTGGCTTTTTTTTCAGGAAATATTTAATTCTAACTAACCCCATGCTGCATCTCTGATCCAATCAAGGCCTGCTTTTTCAAAGAGAAGGGATAGAATTTTTTATTATCTTTTTTATGGGTACTATTTTTACCCATGTAACTGTGCATTTTTGGCGGGGGGCAGGGGGTTTGACCTGTTACAATATTCTGGAATAGAAATTTGTGGAGGGCAGGGATTGTGTTATATGTACATTTTTGGAGATTAATAAGCCAAGAGACAGCGTTTTGCCATTCCCTGCTCACTGGCGTACACGAACTCACAGGCAGCCAGGCCAGCAGATCACTGTGATGCGTCGATGAACTAAGGAGGAAAGAAAAGTGTTCTAGGCATGTCTTCACCCCCAGCCATCACCCTCTTCAACATCCCACAGTCCCCAGCTCTTTTCAGTCACCTGCCCTCACCTGGATAATTGCAACTGGCCCTGTCCCTCCCCCGCACGGTCCTGCTGCCAGGATGATTTCCTGAGAACAAAACGCTGACCACGTGACACCCTCCCCATCCCCTCTGCTGTGTCCCCACTGCTCACTGGGGACACACAGGCTCTCCACCACATGACCCTGACCCACCTGGCCTCATTACACGATGCACTTGGAGATCTCTGAACACCCTGCTTTTCCTAGCTCTGCACTAACTCGGCGGGCCACCATCACTGCCATCACTGTGGTACCTCCCCTGCCTGCCACCTGGCAGACTTAACGGTCACATTGAGTCTTCCCTGTCATGTAGCTCCCACTCCAGTTGGGATGAACGGTCTCTCTTTTGTGTCTCCTTTGACTTTGCTCACATTCCTATTGTACACGTGTAATGCTGGCCCCTCTACTCAAATACAAAGACAGGGGCTTGTGTACTCCTGTCTGTCCCATCCCCAGCATTGCACCGAGGACGTAGTGCTCACTGAAGAAACGAGTGCTGACCGACTGAAAGATGATTGAGCTTCTGGCCAGTGCCTGGTGGAGCAGCTAAGGATATGAGCAAGACAGCTTCTTCCGGGCATTCTCCAGTCCCAGATTGGCTGCTGTGTCCAGGATCCTGCTCAGTCGTCCATCGTTAAGCTTCTTTCTTCAATACCTCGGCATATGCTTCTCAACCTTGGATTCCTTAGCTCTA